TCTTCAAACATAAATGATTTTTACAAAATAAAAATTGAATGTAAGCATTGAAAATGAGAAGAATCAACTGTAAGAAATTATTAATCTATTGGTAGTCAAAATTTGTGACAAATTACTAAAATCCTTGGCGCTCAGATTTCTTGCATTAAGAAAACCTTTGGGCTGTCTGGTTAGCTCAGATGGTTAGAATACAGTTTTAAAACAACAAGGTCAAGGGTTCCGATCCCCATCCTGGCGAACCACCAAAAAAAAAAAGAAAAGAAAAGAAAAGAAAAAGAAAACCTTTAAGCATCTGAAAATTTATAGAGCTCCACATTTAATTTGATGACATCTCTGTATAATTATATTTTTATCTTGTATCACTGTTAGAATATAGTGGTAAGATGTGTATTGATTCTCCATGGTATCACAAAAGGCACTGTGAGGAAAGATCTTCTCTTAATCAAACTATCGTAAAGTCTTGGAGCCTACAACACATCCTTGAGTCTCCATATTTTTAAATGACTTTCAACTCAGTTCCCTAATGCAGAAATTAAACAGTGAGGCTATGATTGTCTCATAGCACAGTTTTTTATTTTTGCATGAATAAAGGTCCAAATTCAAAACAAAATAAAAATTGATCAAGATGGAGATCTTTAAAAGCCATCATTTATTTTACTGATTCTCAATTTTTATTTTTAGGTTTACAAGTCCCTTTAAGTATCTGATGAAGGCCATGACCCTTTATACCAGAAAAATTCTCATACATGTATCCACTTAAAATTTCATATAAAATGAATTTATAGTCATTTTCAGGGAGTCCAGGTATAGAATTCTGGCTTACTGAGAAACCGTTAGGTGCTTTGTATTGTGAAGGATGGCTGGCATAGACAGTACGCTGAGAGTTTATAGGCCCCTTGGATTAGAAAAACCATGCCTCAGAGAAGCAGCTCAGTAACAGTATCCTTGCCTGTCCTCTTCAGCTGCAGGACAGAGTTGCCTGCCCAGCATTATGCCCTCAACAGAGGAGCTTTGCAGGCCAGCAGATTCCCTCTTAACCCAGAACTGGCAGGGGGCGGGGGG